GGGTTCATTAGAACAATTTTTAAAAGTGTGTTTTTCAGTTTCAGTTTCTGATGTACATGACCAGCTCCAAAATGCCTAGTTGGTTTTATTATGTGCCAGTGGGCATCTTTGATGAGAATGAATGGGTAGGCTACATTTAGTTCATTAGTCCCCCTTAAAGCATCAGCTTCACAAGTCAGGCAGCCTGTGATTAACCTCCCATAAAGCCAGAAGTGTTCAACAATATTGACAACCAAATCTTCAAATTAAGTCTTTGCTTGCATTGGTGGCTTCAAGCAGATACAGTACTGCTTATTTAAAGATCACAGAGCTAAATTAAACAGACATATCAGCTGTTGCAAACTGTTGCTGAACTGGTCTTCATACGACATTTATATGGAGCTGGTTTTGTACTAAAGACAAAAGCAACATTATAAACACTTACTGATTTATGTCCTAATTTACATTTAAATGGTGACTTTTAATCATCCTTTTTTTTTTTTTACATTAAATGTTAATTGTAAATTGGTGAGCTTTAGATGTGCTAATAGGTTGATTCATGTCACCCTAGCTAGTCAGAATTTTCCCTCCACTTTTCCTAAGGTCTTAGTCAAACAGCTGTGCACACTAGTGTGCAGACCAGTTAATGACCTCCTGCCAACCCCCATGTGTATTTTACAACTGTTTGGCAACTGATTGCTGGAGGTTGCTGGCAGTCACTAGCATAAATTGGTCGCTGCAAGGGTGCTGGACAGAAAAATTCTCTGAAATTGCTTTGGACACTGACAGATTTCCATTTTCAGCTGTTTTTTGCATGGAAGAAGCGGACTTACCAAGCAGTAGTGAAATGGTAAGTGTAACCTAAACATATGCTTTCAAAGTAAAAGTTACACATTCCAAAATATGTAGGTTGCAGCAGTAAGACACAACTTATTCTTTAAAAGCAAATAATTAATTAAAATGTCATTAAAGCTCAAGAAATAAATGTCTGCAGATAAGTTGGCATCTTTCATGCAAACTACAGGTGACCAAGGTGGCAATCTGCTAATAACTAAAGCAATCACAGGGACGTTTGCTGAGGATCACCCTATTTGTGTTGCCAGTATTAAACTGTGACTGAGGCCTGAGCTAACGATCGTCTTGCCCAGACCTCATATATCAATCTTTTCATGTAATCATTGGTAAGAAGGCCATTTTGCAAACTGCGGGTCTATTAGTTTACCTCAAAAAGATCCTTAAAGAGAGTATGTAATGGTGACTGCACTTTGACTCAGATGAACAAAACCTATAAATCCTTTAATACTAAACTGAGTAAGATGCTAGCAAAGGTCTGGTCACTAATTTTTCATGTGGCGTAGGCACCATTTGAAAAGATGACTTTGGTGATTTTGGGTGAACTTTTACCTGACTGTTAAGAACTAAGGCACCCAACTGGGGAAAAAAAAAAGATTTAAAAATCTCCAATAACCACGGTGTATTTTTTGGCCCTGGATTAACATATGTATATAATATACAAATCCTTACAGTATACAAGGGTTTAACATATGTTACAGTATGTAATATTTTCACTCAAGCAAAAAAGAAACTGAATATGAATTCAATCACATTACATTCCCTTCCATAACAATAGGCTACTATCTGGCGAAAAGATGATCAGAAGACAATATATCAGCTCTGTTTTGGATTGTACAATAAATATACAGTACACCAACAGGGATTCTCTGTTGCATTTGAGCAGTAAATTGGTATTTACATGAAAAAAGTGCACCGAAGCCAGAAGTCTGCTCTGCCAATAGCACCATCACAGTCATCCCAAAGACAGGAGTCTCCCATCCCCCTCTTCTAATCTCCGGGGTACATCCTCTGCGAGCGATGTGTCCAGCACTTTGGATTCGTAAAAAAAACAAACACTGAGGAAGACTAACAATGATATTAATAATTATTATTATAATAAAAGATAACATCACCAACAGTTAGTCTTCCGAGTTCCACTTCACAGAAGTGAAAATGTAAAAAACAAAAAAATAATGTTTGTGTCAGCATTATTGGCTGAGCAGTGGTTTAGATTCCACTACGACAGAGGGCAGGAGTATGGGGTATGATAAACAGGGAAATCCTCGCTTTTCTCCCGTCTTCAACATTGACAACTTTTTCATTCTTCCACTGGTTCAGAGTCGGGATGCATTTTCCAGTCTGCTGTTTTCTTCTCACCCTCTTAAGCACTGTATCCCTCCATCTTTCTTGCCTTTATGACCATCTTCTTGTCTCGCTCTTGTATTCAAAGGGTCAGTGCCCCTGGCAAGTCTTGCAGCACATCTGTCTGAAGTACGCTCGACTGCAGAACTTGAACTTCAGTACCAGCGGGCAATAAGCCACTTTGTTTACATCTTTGCATTCTGTGGAGAGACAGAAAAGACCTCAGATATAAAGACAGCAAAAGAAAACATATCTTTTATTAGTCTGGCTATGTTTAAGAGGAAAACTCCTCGTCGTAGGAGCTGACTAAAAAAAAGACACACACACAAGAAAGTTTTTATACCTAACATAACACAATCATCTACATATTGTCACCTTTTAAGTAAAACCACCCCTATTTCCCTAGACTATATATAAATATATCTATTACATATATCTATCTACATGGCACTGTATTAATGTATTAACTGGTTGTGCCACCCTTAGCTTAGCTGGTGTGTTTTGGATTACTATCTTGCTTGATAACCCGATTGCGCTTAAGTTTCAGGTCGTCAACTGATGGTTGGACATTCTCCTTCAGGATTTTCTGGCAGAATTCATGGTTCCATCAATTACG